GGAGGTTCAGCGCCTGAAGGAGCAGGGGTTCATTAGTCCCAGCCTGAGTCCCTGGGCATCACCTATAGTCCTCGTTCCCAAGAGTGGCGGCACTTACCGTCTGTGTGTAGATTATAGGAAGGTGAATGCGGTAACAGTGGCGGACTCGTTCCCCCTCCCGAGGATGGACGACATTATTGATGACCTGGGGAAGGCACGCCACCTGTCGAAGTTGGATCTCCTCCAGGGATATTACCAAGTTCCGTTGACAGAGAGGGCGAGGCCGATTTCTGCGTTTGTCACGCCTGTCGGTCTCTACGAGTTCAAGGTTCTTCCCTTCGGTATGAGGAACGCCCCGGCGACCTTTCAGCGTCTCATGAACTACCTGACTGCGGACTTAGAAGGCGTTCGTTGTTACCTAGACGATCTTGTAATCTGGAGCGAGTCTTGGCAGGAACATCTGGTACGTTTACGTGCACTCTTCTCCGCCTTGTCAGCCGCAAACCTCACGGTAAATTTGCAGAAGAGTGAATTCGGACATGCTCATGTCACCTTCTTGGGTCACGTGATCGGTCAGGGTCAGGTCGCACCTGTAGCAGCGAAGGTGGAAGCGGTCCTCCAGTATCCCACGCCCGTCGACAGGAGAGGCCTGATGCGCTTCATGGGAATGGCTGGATATTATAGACGTTTCTGCAAGAACTTTTCCCAGATATCCGCACCTTTAACAGACTTGCTGAGTACTAAACGGACATTCAGGTGGTCAGAGGACTGTCAACAAGCCTTTGACAACTTGAAGCACCTCTTGTGTACCGCTCCCGTCTTGCGAGCTCCTGATATCGGCAAACCATTTGTAATTCATGTTGACGCCAGTGATAGTGGTGTGGGAGCGGTCCTCTTGCAGAACAAAAGTGAAGTGCTCCACCCGGTGTGTTATTTTTCTTATAAGTACAAGTCTTATCAAAAGTCTTACGCCACCGTCGAAAAGGAGGCCTTGGGAATAGTATTGGCAATCGAAAAGTTTAGAGTTTATTTAACAAACTCTGTTCATCCAGTCAAAATTTTCACTGATCATAACCCGTTAACTTTATAGAAAATGTAAAGTTTAAAAACATGCGAGTGTTGAGGTGGGCTTTAACATTACAGCCATTCAATATAAAGATATTGCATATTAGAGGCACACACAATATCATAGCGGACGCAATTTCAAGATCGTAAGTAGTGCGGTCCACACACGTTGGCCGCTGACTGTACACTGCGAAGGACAGGAAAGAGGCGTACGCTACCTTCACCCGTATAGCCGAACGAGCTGTTGTGTAATTCTATATAGCAATTAGCTAGTTTGAACTTTTTCCCGTACGGTAAAAAGTTCTTTTTCTTGCGGGGAGGAGTATTACATAACAGTAAAATAAACTAATAATTGTTAAAATGCTAAATTGTCGGCTACGGTAACGAGGCAGTTCCTGCAGCAGCGTTCGCAGCCACCCCCCCCCCCCACCGTCTTGAGGCCTACCCGTATGTCTTGGGAGGGTTGCCTCGGCCACTCCTCCACCGCCATAGGCCTGGGCAAGACCTCTCTGCCTTTTTGCTGTTTTTTTATTTATTTTTGTATTTTCTCTTTGTAGGGTTAGGGTGATATATTACATTATAGTAATATATCACGTAGGCAGGATTTCTTGTTTATTTTTTGTGTGTTTCGTCTGTTTGTTTGTTTTGTTTACTTTGGTGACGGAAGAAATAATAAAAATAAGTGTAAATATCGAGTTTACGTATTATTCCATTTTAACATAAATGATTTTACAATTACTAAATAATGATCATTAATGGTATACAATTCTTGATTAACAGTGAAAGATAATTAACATAATAAATAACGTATAATGAAAGATGAATAATGATTGACCAAGTGACTTTAATGAATTAGTTTGTATATAAATCAGAAAGGAATATAACATAATACAGTTAAAGAAAAGATACATCATTGATAATGAACTTGAAGAAAATAACATTAATGGGAGAAGATAAATAAATGAACAATGAACAAAGTGAATGATTATAATAACTTGACGGCATTAATGAGCCTTAATGGAATGAAAAATGAATTAATACAAATGAATTAACCAGAAGAATATTTACAATCACTAGTACTTTAGCACGAGCTGTTGTTACGTGGTATTAGCCGTTCATACCAGGCCATATCCTTCAGATTTGACTTCGCGTCTGATTTTGGCTTCCGCATTGGAGAATTCGAGTTCAGCGGAGCTGCTCTTCCCCTTAATTCTCTTGGTGACATACCAGCCGTAACAATATATATATATAATATATATATATATGTATATATATATATATATATATATATATATATATACATATATATATGTATATATATATATACATATATAGATAGATATAGATAGATAGATAGATATGTATATATATATATATATATATATATATATATATATATAATATATATATGTATGTATGTATGTATGTATGTATATGTATAATATATGTATATATATATATATATATATATATATATATATATTATATATATATATATATATATGTACATATATACCTTAGGTTATCTGATTTGGGGTTTGATCTGCTTTCCGTAAGTCCCGAATGCTCACGGATTGTGTGTATCTCGCTATACTTACTCAGGTATGAGTAGTTAGGTAAAATCCATGGTGCCAGGTGGCGCCTGGTTGCACAATCCTTTATATATATATATATATATATATATATATATATATATATATATATATATATATATATATATATATATATATATATATATATTACGTATAAGGACACTAGCTAGCTCCTAGTTGCACGCTCCTTTTAGTGGTCGTATGTCAGTGGTAGAGTGACCGCCTTGCAATCGCTTGCGCCGGCGTCGAGGATCGAATCAAGGATAAGGATAAGTCCGATATGCGAAGCTGAGCCTCGCCCGGGCGATGAGGGGATGGAAGACGGCACGTTACCGCTGTACTAGCCTGGAGGCTGGATCGAATCCCTGTCGGAGAGGTTATATATTCATTATATCAATACTGCCAGTGTATTATTCCGTCTTTCATATATATATATATATATATATATATATATATATATATATATATATATATATATATATGTATGTATGTATGTATATATATATATATATATATATATATATATATATATATATATATATATATATATATATATGTATGTATATGTATATATATATATATAATATATATATATATATATATATATATATATATATATATATATATATATATATATATATGTATGTATGTATATATATATATATATATATATATATATATATATATATATATATATATATATATATACATATTTATATTTATGTGTTTATGTATGTATATACACTTGACGGTCCGAAGAGCCAGAATGAAAGAAAAAGCGTGAAGGCAAGCGGAAAAATAGTAAATGTTTCAGCTTATCCTTCATCGTCCTTGCGTCATCTCAGGGAATATTTCCAGCTTTTCATTAACCTTCTCAGAGCCTTCTCAAGAACGTATAGTGTATTTTTTATTATGATGATAAGGAATGAGAATAGAAAATTTAAAAAAAAATAAGTCTGGAAACTCGAAAATATGTTTTCCATATTTTCATCAGTAGTGCCTCCCATTCAAAAAAATGTATTGGCCCGTGAAAAGTTTTGGTATCTTAAAAACTCCCGAACACGCAACACAAAGGCCAGATTGTCAACTGTCACTCGCAGCGGGTGTCTCCTCCAAGGTGTAAACAGGAACACAAACACACTTACTTATACGTACTCATATACATATGCATACGTATACGTTCAAACATATGTGTACAAACGCCTATGTATGCACATATTTGTACGCACATACATGCACATATATATTTGTACACACATACGCACTCTCACATATGCACATGCACACTGAAACGTGCATATCCGCATGATTTACACATTCACACGTACATATGCTTACACAGACACACATAAACGTACATAAACACACGTAGACGCAAAGACAGGCATGTGCACATATACACATGCATTTACAATTACGGTCACCAAAATCAAATGTACTAACACATAGGCCTACATACAGACATCCGCAACACTTGAATCAGCAGACATACAGGGCGTAAATAAGCCATCTATCAGTGTAAATTAAATTGATGATTATATATGACATTCATATTTTATTGTGTTTGCCTTTTGATTATTTTATTGTTCAGTAAACATAAAAGTTTCCAGGCCATCTTGAGAACATCTTTGGAATTAGAGATATGTTTCTACACCCCCTCTCACTCTCCCTCTCCCTTAATGACTGTCCCTCCATTCCTCTCCCATGTCTCCCCGTCCCTCCCCCACCTCATCCCCTCTCCTCTCCCGTCCCTCCCCACCTCACCCATTCTCCCCCCCCGTCCCTCCACCTCCACTCTCCCCCTCTACCCCACGACCCCTCATCCTGGACCTTCCTTCCCTCCTTTGCTTCGGCAGGTCCAGCCGGGATATTGATGGGGGCGATTAGGGCGCAGAGCGTCTGGCGGCGCCCACGCGGAGAGGCCTAGCGACGCCGCCCATTGAATTATCCTTACACACGCATATGGGGACTAGTTAACACCCCTCCCCCCCCCCCTGCCACGTACCTTCTTCCCCTCCCTCTCCCTTTTCCTTCTACGTACCCTCTTCCCCCTCCCCCCTGCCTTCCCCTTCAACTTGCCTTTTACAACTTCCATTCTCCTCCCTCCCCCTTCCGCCTTCTCCCTCCCATTCCTCCTTCTAGTCTAGTAAGAGATAGCTAAGAAATGATAAACGGACATTCTTATCACTCATGACTGAGTACATCAACAGAGTGCTTGAACATAGGTTATGAATCATATAGCGATATCAAAGCATAAGATCACAGCGCTCAACATTGACTGAAACTGCTGAAGGGTATTTCAAGGTTTGCTTTTGATAAGGATCGATTAGATTAACAATATAACAGACAGGTGATTATCTTTTTTGGTATTACACCATAACCTTTTCAACGGTCACCTTTGGATCAAGTAAGAAAAAAAGTCTTTGTACTAATTCAATGATACCGATTGCGTTCAGTCCCTTCTTTCAGAATTTCATTTTGAATTCATCAGAGACTGAAAAAGTAGGACACACAATGATGATATGCTAATCATCGTTTGGCTGACGAATAACGACGCAAATATAGTGAAGATGATAATGATAACATTAACAATGTAAAGAATAATGATCAGTAAGAACAGCTCCTAAAAGTGAAAAAAATAAATACAAATATAATTATTTTATCAGTTATATCAATCATATATTATGAACAGTGATATCAGTTAAATAGTTGAATTAGATAAAGAAATGAAATTATGATAATAAAAATAACAGTAAGAAAAATGACAATCATAATCCTAGAAATAATCTCAGTAGTAATAATAATGAAAATACTAAGGGTAGCAGAAATAGAATTGATAAAAACAGTGATAATGATCATAATAAGGATAATGAAAATAATGATGGTGATAACAGCTGCAATGATAACGATTATATAATGATGAAAATAATAATCATCATAATGATAATAAAAGTAAAAATGATAATCATAATGATAATAAAAGTAAAAATGATAATCATAATGATAATATAGATAATAATAACAATCAAGATAAGGATAAAATAAACATAAAGATAATATTATGATACTAATAATCATGATACTAATGACAATGATGGCGATAATGATAATGATGACAATATAAACGATGATAAAATTGTTAAAACAACAACAACAGCAACAATAAATAAGGACCTTAACTGAACGACAAAACGGGGAACAAGACGAGAATCAGACAAACCAAAGAGGTCTGACCGCGGACGGCTGACCTTACTGAATGTCAGCAGGAGCAGCGTCAGCCCCGGACACATCCAGAGATTTCTAATGAGAGTCGCAAAGTTAGAAAAGGAGGAGGGGCGTCGTCAGCATGTGTGTGCGGCGGGGGCGCCCTTTCCGCCCAGGTATACATACATATATATAGATAGATACATAGATAGATACATAGATATATAGA